GCGTTAAACAACAAACCAACCAACCAATTCCATGTAGGTATTAAGAATTGACTGGAATTGTTTCTACAATAGATACCCGGCATTAGTCTGCCTCTATTTTTGTCCCTATAATTTGGTATTATATAATGCCTAGAAATGTCCAGTAGGCTCTCCTGGACCACACTGTATAGTCGGACCATTTATGTAGTAGGTGTTGAACAAAATATCCCCTTGTGTTTGTTACTGGCTTCACCCCTTTTTTTATGTAACTGACATTTTTTACCCGCTTGTGAACATAAACATAACAGGCTTCTCCACTCGACTGTAACCACAACCCCGTCTATTCGACTGCATACACTCTACCTCTACATGCTTCTCATCCACGCTCTGCACCGCACTTGCTTTATAACGGCGTTAGAACCAACACCGAAACGTCGCTTCTAGTTAGTGAGTGAGTGAGTAAAAAGTCACTATGGTTTTACACCGCTTTTAGCACATTCCAGCAATATCACGGAAATGGGCTTCACACATTGTACCAATGTTGGGAAACGAACCCGGGTCTTCGGCGTGACTAGCGAACGCTTTAACCACTAGGCTGCCCGACCGCCCCCATGAAGAATGAGAATAATAATAACATTATATTAAAGTGTCACGTGTGGCACACGTGATATAACGGAATGTGGCATGTCATCATGGGGCTTAAACAAACGATTACCCAACCTACTCTAGAGCAACGCCTCACCCACATTGGGAGTGACTCGTAATTATCAAAAAGAGGATTTATAGCGTACGCACTCGTGATTTTTACTCATATTTTTACAATCACAAACGCTGCTGCATAAAAGGGATTTCAACCTCAAAAGGTTCATTCGTGCATAATATATGTCCAGATAATAAGATTACATGTTCCACAAGTGAATGAGACCCGTGAAGATCCGGGTAGGAATAGGTCTTCAGCAACTCATGCTTGCAACGAAAGGCAACATAGCATTGAACAAGTATCTGTTTGAGGGCTGCATTGCAGCGCGTGACACATTCTTTACGCTCTCATGAGGGATAGAGAAATACTCGGCACAGATATGACGTCACTGTGGAAAGCCGATTGAAGTCTAACGGGGGTGTAACGTTATATTTGCTGTTGTTTGTTTATTTGTTTTTTAACCCAGAACTCAGCAATATTCCAGCTATATGACGGCGGTCTGTAAATAATCGAGTCTGGACCAGGCAATCCAGTGATTGACATCATAAGCATCGATCCACGCAATTGGGATACGATGATATGCATCAACAATTTGAGTCAGCGAGGCTGGCCACCCTATCCCGTTAGTCACCTCTTACGACAAACACAGTCGCCTTTTAGAGCCAGCATGGGTTGCTGGTGACCTATTCTACTCCGGATCTTCACGGGTCCACTTTGCTGTAGTGAAAATATATTTTGATATAGTCCATTGTACTAGTTTAGCTATGTCATAGGATGTCCAAATAAATCACTCCCAAATAGTAATGATGCTCGAGAAGGGTGAGCGTATGTTACAAACACATGCAAAGGCAAGTTACCACCTGAACAAACACGGGAACAAATGGTCAAAATAGGGAATGAAAAGAAAGTGTTAACGAAATGTTTGCATGGTCTATCTCTGGGTATTTCTCAGAATATCAATACTTTACTGTCGGCACAGCAGACCTCTAAACAGGCATAGCAGTGCAGCTAGACACGGACAATGTTCTCGACAACGGCTTCTCTCATACGGGAAATTCACTGTTGGCACAGCAGACGTCTAAACAGAGAAAGTGGTACAGCTAGACACAGACAATGTTCCCGACATCGAATTCTATCATACGGGCACTTCACTGTTGGCACAGCAGACGTCTAAACAGGTATAGCAGTACAGCTAGACACAGACAATGTTCCCGACATCGACTTCTATCATACGGGCACTTCACTGTTGATAGAGCAGACGTCTAAACAGACAAGATGGTACAGCTAGACACAGACAATGTTCCCGACATCGACTTCCATTATACAGGCACTTCACTGTTGGCTCAGCAGACGTCTAAACAGACATAGCAGTACAGCTAGACACAGACAATGTTCCCGACATCGACTTCTATCATACGGGCACTTCACTGTCGGTAGAGCAGACATCTAAACAGACATAGCAGTACAGCTAGACACAGACAATGTTCCCGACATCGACTTCCATTATACGGGCACTTCACTGTTCACAGACGCCTAAACAGATGTGATGGTGTCTGGTTCTGTACACAAGCTATTTGACAACGACAGCCTTGTCTTGGCTAGACCATATCATTGGCGGATACAGAGGGGGTGGGGAGGGGTGGGGGGTGGGGTGGGGGTGCGCACCCCCCCCCCCCCTTTTTATTTAGAAAAAATCTTTATTTCTGTATAAATTACCACCAAAGACAATGAATAGATCTTAATTGTGCACCCCGCCTTTTCAAAAAAGCTGTATCCGCCCATGCATATATATGTTCATTTGGAATAATGCATACATTGATCCAACAGGCCCCGTCAAATAATCTCAGCAACGTGTTTCGGGAACTCTCTTATCTGAACCTAATCTATTGTCTTATAGTGATGTCTAAAGCTTATTTCTCTACATTTGTGTTTATGGTTTGCCGATGGACAAGTCAGTAAACAAGAATGCTGCATTGGTCGTTGCTATGGTTACCCTATGCCCTCATCCCTCATCGTGTTTTAGGGGCGGAGTGGTAACCTAGTGGTTAAAGCGTTCGCTCGTCACGCCAAGGACTCGGGTGCGATTTCCCACATGGGTACAATGTGTGAAGCTCATTTCTGGTGTCCCCCGCTGTGATATTGCTGGGATAATGCTAAAAGCGGCGTAAAACCATACTCACTCACTCTCTCATCGTGTTTTGTGTGACTACTGGGGCCCAGAAAGGCGTGGCAATGTACAGGGTAAGATTTTCATGATCGGTCAATGGGATTTTACGTTCGCTTCCTGCTCTCTGTTAACCTTTGGATTCCGCGGACGATTGAGATGCCTATGTTTAACAATATTCCAGCGATACCATGAAAGCGGACATCAAGAATGGAGCTTCACAAACTTTACCAATACGGGGAATGGAACGCGGTTTTTCGGTGTGAAGAGCGAATGCTTCAGCCGCTAGCCTACACCACCAATCTCTACAAGCCAGCGTTCAAAATACATATTCAGTAATAAGATATATGTAACTGGACAGATGGTACATTAACAGTAAATTCGATAGTAAACAGGCATGTATTACTTATAGTTTCATCAACAGAACGAGGAAGAAGGTATATGAGGAAGCGTGTCATCCCAAATGATAAAATAGTTTTGCGCACTAATAGTAACTTAAATTTAATTATTTTCTTGTAAATGACTTTCCTAACCTTTACACTTTAAGTGCGCTTCTATCACATGATCACGGCCTGTAATCGAGTCTAAGTCTGAGTGAGTGAGTGAATTGGGTTCAACGCCGCTTTTAACAGTATTCCGGTTATATCGCGGCGTGTCAACTTAATCTTGGAGGAAAGCCCAAAGTGATGCAGGTATCGGACGTTTACCACTTTGGTGAAACCCATGAGCACGGGTATGGTGCTGACAAACCTAGAAACATAATCGGGGCGAACCCGGATTCGACCCCACAATCATAGGTTTCTGGCGTTCCCAAGGGACGCGACTCCGCACAGCGAATCGCGGCGCCTTAAATGACTGGGCCACCCGTGTCCCCTTCTAGGTCTGACAAACCAGTGGTCGATACAGTGAGTAACGCCCCGGGTCGTTAAGAGTCAATGACGTGCGATCAATCAATTTGCAAGACACAGAGCCTGACAAGAGTCTGTCCTACAGACCCTGATTCAAATATATATCAAATACACCCCATTCAAGTCTATAATGTTTGGCAAGTCGAGATTACCGCAGTATCTGAAAATGACGAGAGTCACTTGGCCCCCTTTTATTAATATATTTTTATTAAGATAACTGAACAACTGTTTTTTCTGTACGATATGTTCATTTCAGAGACTAGATGTTAGTCCAAGCCTGACTACAACGCGATCCATGCTGGGGATCTATTCTAACCTGGAATCCCCGGGACCAATCTCACGTTCGGCTATTCCCGTCAAGCCCGGAAAAAAGACCAGCGCTCTCTGTTGGACATGATATTCTAATAAAACTATAACAAATGAGAACCAGAGCACAACAGCGCGAAACAGTTAAATGTTCCCATGCAGTATCAACTAACGTAGACTAACACAATTAAAGTCTATTAAATCTTTTATTACAAAATACATTTCTCTCCACTAAAATGAAAACAAATATTTTTCCTGATACTGATTTCTGTCTAGAGCTGACTAGATTTGCTTTTGTATATATATATATATCTAGATTGGTTTTGTTTTCAAATTTAAAAAAAAGATATTCCACAGTCATGGTGCAGGACTACAACTAACGCTGCAGTCGTTTTTTTTATAAAGCGTGACGGGGCGGTCGGGTAGCCTAGTGGTTAGAGCGTTGGCACGCCACGCCGAATACCCGGGTTCGATTCCCGACATGGGTACAATGTGTGAAGCCCATTTCTGGTGTCCCCCGCCGTGATATTGCTGGAATATTGCTAAAAGCGGCGTAAAACCATACTCACTCACTCACTATAAAGCGTGACGATTTTCGAATTCCTCTACCTGTACTTGTGCAGCTAAGCAACGTTTGATTCATAGTATATGTATTGATATTCATATAAATTCTGACATGTTCAGACGTGAATAATCTATAATACATTAAAATGCAAATTCACGCACCGAGCTTTAACGCCCACACCATTAAGCTTTTTCGATTGTTTGGTTCAATCGGTGACATAACTATTTTATGGTCTCTGGTTCAATATACATTTGTATTTTTACTCGGCTAATCATATGTCTCAAAATCGAGACGTCATCAGCTGGGGTAACACGCTTTACCGGAATAGCTAGACTAACTTTGTCTGTGAAACTGTGTTGTCAGCATAAACTTTAATCACACTCACACACAAGCTGTGAAAACAAATGCACCAATAATAGCTAGGGTTATTACCCAAGAGTGCTGTAACAAAAAGCGGACAAAGGTTCACGAACCGGTTTGGTGACGGGTACCTGTTTAGAGTTACCTCCCTTAGTCGCTCTCGTTGTTTCTGCAGTTCCAGCGTGGCAAACTCAAATGCACGATGGCAAATGTCAGGCCACAAATATTGTTATTAGCCATTTTGGCAACGGCATTGACAAGCATCAGTTGTCACACCGATGACGAAGAGGACTTTCAGCCAGCAGGTGGCCACAAGGTGGAATTTGGCGAGGCAAAGGCACCGAGGTAAGGTGCAAAACGAATGTGCTGGTATTTTCGTTATATGTAAACAAATCGTATTTTCACTCATGCGGACTCAAACAGCAGGTAAAATCAACGTTTAAAAAGTTTGCTATGCTTTTATTATTAAGTCGTTGAGATTGAACTATCTTGGACTTATTTTATATTTAATGTTTTGTGTGGAATAGACAGGAAACGGCTGTTAACTTGCATCAGGTGCCACACCCCTTTGGCCAATGTTGGCAAACCACGTTCCACGATGGCGGATCTAGTTTTCAGACACCTTACATGTAAACTTAGTGACTGGGTATTATGTGTACCCTACCTTTTTTTCAAATTGTTTACCCACCTCTGTACTATGTACTATTTACTTTGCTTGTTTACTGAACATGAATATCAAACTACAATTACTCATTAAAGAACATGTAGCCATGCGATTGACCTGTTGTCTCACAGAACCTAACTAGGCTGGCTAGCTGGCACAGATATATCCCTGTGTTATGGTTGTTCGAGCCCCAGAGTAGTATTTCTCATTACATGTCTAAAAACAATCCCAAATATACTAAAATTTATTAAGTCTTTCTTACTTTTGAGAACATTTATTCTAACACTTGCATGGATGGTCAAATGACCATGTCTTGTTAATTTGATTGTGATAAGGCCTTGCTGAATGAGATGAGTAGATCAAGGGCCATCTTGAGCCCCTCCATTACATTAAAAATAGATGTACAACATGATCAGTCACATGACTTTACAGACAGGAAGTTTACAAACAGCAACCGATACATCATCAGGGCATACGATTGTTTGGATACGTCATCAGGGCATAGGATTGTTCGGATACATCATCAGGGCATAGGATTGTTTGGATACATCATCAGGGCATACGATTGTTCGGATACGTCATCAGGGCATAGGATTGTTCGGATACATCATCGATCATAGGATTGTTTAGATACATCATCAGGGCATACGATTGTTCGGATACATCATCAGGGCATACGATTGTTCGGATGCAAAATTACAATCCGATCAAGTTTGATTAAATGTGCATTATTGAAAAAGTAAGGTTTTACGTAAGTTTACTTTACTTTTTGAATATCTTACCTGGATTTTAATGCACAACATAACTTCAACGAGAACACTTTGATGTCTTCAGTGGGCTTTGAAGCGTCCACCTTGATCATGTAATTAAGTAGGTGGTCACGTATTGTTTAGGGGCTTGAAAAGAGATGAGGCTCGAAAACATGTGACATGGAGATAATGGTGTCATAATGGTTGATATGATCATATGCTTGTGTTGTCACAATTGACCATTAAGCACTTCCAGTGACCATACTGAGTGTACTCTCGCAGTCACACTTATGAGAATACATCCTTTGAACTCGTCATGATAAATTTGTTACATGTGTCACTTGCGTGGCGTACAGGTTTGATGAGATCAATCAGCTCTTAAAGGGACCTTTCATTGACGGATCTGTGTTATTAAATCAGGCATGAAATAATTTGCGAATGTGACGTCATATGACTGATTCAATTCTCAAGCAACCACTATGCAGAGTAAACTGGCGTCAGTCATGTTTTTCATTAGAGGCAAGTTGAAGATAAATCTTGTGTGTTTTTCTTACACTACAGATGAGTAACAAAATACTAATTGTTAGCTTGACTATATTTGGAACCAGTGTTTACCGAAGCATAGATTACAGTATAAATATGCTGTATGAAGCCAGTCATACTGTACCCAGAGTTCCTTGTGGCCGGCAACGTTCCTATGTCACATTGTCACATCTCACACAGTCCATTCAAGTGTCAGAGCTCCAGATAAGCTGAGTATCTGTGTGAAATACGCATCAGAAATGCAGAAATACGCAGTAAAATATAATCCAAGCATATCAAATACGCAACGAACATTACAGATACGCTACAAAAAAAATAATTTGTGTGTATCATCAAAATATTGTGAAGTAACCCTGCGTATTCGATTAGCAAAACTTATTTTGAAATTATATGTGGGCATTCCGTCAACCTTGCCAAACTCCACGATGACAGTCACATCATGATCATTTGCCATCACACTTTCGTGTGGAAGTATCGTGGTATTTTTGAGTCCTATAAAGCGCTCGAACCCACATGACACCAGTTTGCAGGGACTAGATGAATAGTGTTTTTAAATATTTAACTTAAATACCCACATGTGTAAAAACTAGTGGGTAACAGAAATTTGAATACGCAGATAGAATTACTGATACCCAATGATTTTAAAATGCATGGGTAAAATACCCACAACACCAAAAGCTTATCTGGACCTCTGAGTGTTTATCATCTGTTTCATTTTGGACAAGTCTACACATTTAGATAAACATAACTTTCATTTAGAAAATATCCTGAAACATGAAAAACTATTTTAATTTGCGTATTTATCCTTCACGAGGTGTCATCAAAGCCCTATGGAGAATTAGCAATGCGATCATTTTGATGTGTAAAGCTATATTTATATTGTCATGCACCTCACTATCGCAGTTGTAGTAGTATACCTGTTTGTTTACAAACAAGAGAAAATTGATAAGCCTAAATCCGCAGTGTGGCCACTGGAACAGAAAAATATCTCGCGAAATAAGGCGAGCAGAGCTGAGTCAGCTCTGGGGAAGGGGGGTTATCAGCTATTGTTTACAAACAAAGTTTCAGAACAGTCGACATCCTGTCCCTTAAACCCCTGTACAACCCACAACTGACGCATGGAATTCATGATACAGCCATTTTCTCACATGTTATCATTCACTTCTTTTGGTACATGTATTTGATGTCTTATTTTAACCAATTGGAATCAGCAGTCTTCAATGTCGTGACAAAATACATTTTCATTCCCAGGGATAACCATGGATTGGTATTTTAAAACCAAAGTGTAGATATTTTTCGCAAATAATTCTTGTTAAAGTGCTTTTTCAGGTAATAATGTCTAATTTTCATCTGTTCATGTGCTGCCCCAAATGTGTACAATGTCGTATAAGCTCACTACAGTGATACATGTGTCAGTTCATCTTCCCAAGGCAAGGGAGTTAACTGACTTTAAAAGTCCAGTTTCCAACCTTGCCAAGCTACACTAGAATTCCTGGACTCGATCGAAGCGTCACCAGTGGCTATTACAAGTTATGTCCCTTCAATGCCTCTCCTATGGACCAATCAGATTCCACCTTGCATTTGCTTCAAACAAAATGGCGGCGCCCAGTCAAGATCTATATTGTGTTAAAACATGTCTTACTTTGCGAAGTGCATCAAATCATGTGAGCACCTTTATTAAAAACATGAAAAGTTTTGGAAAATATGTGTTGACGAGTTGGTGGTGCACATGCTTTACAAATCCTGCATTCGACCGAAATCTGCATGACAGTTTATGAACCGTATTTCGATTTCATTGCGCGATTTTGATTGGACTATGCATAGACTCGTTAGTCCAGCCAAAATGTAACTCCATAATACCAGCCTAGTTCGGCAAGGGTGGAAACTGGACTTTTATAGTCAGTTAATTCCCTTGCCTCAGGAAGATGGTGTCAGTTGTAATAAGCTAGACGTAGCACTTTTGCGTGTTATTCAATGCCGTAGAGTTTATACACTCACTGACAAAAGAAACATGAATATCATAAATGTTGGTTAATATACGAAGAATCACTCATGTCCAAGAGATATTAGATTGGTTCGATGCACAAACGAACATACTGGTATGTTGTGTGAAATGACGCTCATGAACGCATCACATCACAGACCCATGACTCGAGATGCACCATTGGTCTCATAAAGGATTATCGTGTAAAGCTTGGAAAACACGTGCAAAATTTCGTGATAAGAATAAAGACTGTGGTTACACTTGACTGATTGTTAGTTTTTGTTATGAATTGGTACACATTGGAAACATCTCTTCAATACTTACTTCTCCATATGTTTCTTTGGTTTGCGTTTCTGTTGGTGGTGAGTAATATATTGGTGACTCCTGCATTTTGATCTGTAAATGATTATAAGTAATGGTAATAGCTTAAAGGCTACAAGGCTAAAAGGTAATTGTTGTTTACTATTTGATTTTTTCAAGATGTTTGCATGCATATTTGTATGCAAGCAACTCATAATATATTGGGTTCGGCGATAGAAACTAACTATTTTAGCCCACTAGTCCTTATAATGATAACTTATAGCAAAACCCCTTAGGCCAGGCATTTAATATTTTTCGGATTACGGACCCGCCGACCTTAATTTTTGAGAAAATGTAGAAAAAAAATCAGATTTCCATTTTTTTTACCCGCTGATAGCCACATACTCAGTTATTTTATTTGTTATCATCACCTTTTAGTAAAAACATATGAACATAGCCTCCCTTGACAATTGTCCATGTTGTAAGTGGTAAAATTTTTATTGTTAAAAGGGGCTTCATCGTCACAAATGGCAGTCTTTTGAGCACAGAATATGTTCATAAAGTATGCCACAGGCATTCTGCATAAAAAAAAAGCATCTGGCTTTTTTTTTTTTTTCTCCTCCAACCCTGGACTTTGGGCTGAAAAATTCGTAATCCTAAATATAAAAAAATGCTTGGCCTTAAAAGGGAAAAAAACCTCTATGATACCTTAACTATTTGGCAGTTTGGCATGGATTATAGGACTAGTGCTAATATCTAACGCTCGGGTTGTGAAATATTTTTTCATATTTTTACTTAAATACATAGCTAATCTGAAGCTCAGAGAATGTTTTTATTCCAGGTATCTGTTGTGGGATGTGAACCCAGGCGAGGGATTCAACCTGCGCCGTGATGTGTACCTGCGGATGGCAAACTTGGTTGAGAATCTGAATGAAGACTCCCCCTGGATTCTGGTTTTGCCTCCCTGGGGACCCCTGTACCACTGGACCAACCGACACATTGATCAGTCACGCATCCCTTGGTCGCTCTTTTTTGATGTGCCAAGTCTCAGAAAATATGTACCCGTCATAGAGTTTGAGGACTTTCTGAAAGGTAATGCCGTGAAGCTGTATCAATATTTCTATATTTAATTAAGTATTAGTATTGTGACTAAACTAAAATTAAGGGACAATGTGTCTAAGATACTACAATTCACTGGGCAGGGTTAAGTCCCTTAGACACCTAAAATTATGAACATGGGTTTGAGTGAGTGAGTGTCTTATGTTTTACACTGCTTTTAACATTGTTTAACAGTATTCAAGTTATATCACAGTGTGTCAGCTTAATGTGGGAGGAAAGCCCGAAGTGATGCAGGCCTCAGGCGTTTACCACTTTGAAGAAACCCACGAGCATGAGTATGGTGCTCACAAACCTAGAAAAATAATCAGGGCAAACCGACATGCGAACCCACAATCATAGGTTTCTTGCGTGCCCTAGGGACGCAACTCTGCACAGCGAATTGCGGCGCCTTAGACGACTGGGCCACCCGTGCCCCCACATGGGTTTGAATCCCAACTTCGCCGGGATTTTCTTTTCTAAGTTTGTCAGCACAGTGCCTGTTTCCATTGGTTTCACAAGAGTTGTAAATGTGTACGACCTGCTTAATTGCGGGCTTAGCTCGACATTAGGCTATCATGTGATATAATACTGTTCAAAGGGGCATTTAACCTAACTCACTCACTAACTGATTAAATTGTTAGTCTTTCCTTGGTTCATCAAATCAGGAATGAGTGGTGAAATTTGATATGATAAAACTGTTTAGTTTCCTATAGTGCATTGCCTGATCTCTATTATATGTTAAAAGAGAGAGAGAGAAAAGAAAAACAGAAATAGAAGGCTTCAGTTTTTTTTCATTTTAGGAATTGTACAAAATGGGGCAAAATTGTATTTTTTAGATTATGAAAGAGTATGCTCTAGGGGTGGTCAGGTACCCTAGTGGTTAAAGCATTTGCTCGTCATGCCGAAGACCCAGGTTTGATTCCCGACATGGGTACAATGTGTGAAGCCCATTTCTGGTGTCCCCCCGCTGTGATATTGCTGGAATATTGCTAAAAGCGGCATAAAAAAACATACTCACTCACTACTCATATTCTACTGCTCTGTCACTTCTTGATCATTTCTGGGCGGTGGGGTAGCCCTAGCGGTTAAATCGTTCGCTCTTCACGCCGAAGGGGATTTTCTAAATTTGGAGGTCATAATTTTCTTTACACAAATACAGTTGAGTTCTTACTATTTAATTTCAGTTTACTCAGTTGTATAATCCATACAGTAGATTTCGTTTTAGAAATTATTGAGAATACATTAGAATCCACATAAGCCATTATCCATTCCAGGGTGCTGCTGTATAGAGTGATGTTAGTGCTAAGGTGATTGTTACTCCCATACCTTACCATTGACTTATGACAGTCGTAGTGCTATGGTTGTTTTGTACAACAGCACTCTTTTCATCTCATTTAATTCTGAAAGTTTGCAGTTTTGGTCAGTATTTTTGAAGAGATAAATGCTCTGTCTGAATTTAGATTTCCTTAACAAATTTATTGCTTCCTTTGTGACTCGATTAAAAAACTTATTGCTATGAAATATGGAGGAATTATGAGTGATGTAAAACCCTGTTAACAAAGGTGTGTGTATGTGCAGTGCTCCCCAAGCCGTGGCTGGTGGACGAGGTCTACTACCTCCAGTACTACAAGGAGGGCTGGGGCGGTGAGTGGAAGGAGAAGATGGACAAGCGGGAGTGCCACACCATGGAATATAGGAAATATACCCTGGTGAGTGGCGCAATACACTGAGGGGAAGGGAACAGCTATAAAAGTAACATGCTTGGTATGAAATTGTGTATGTAGCAGAAGACGAAACAGCAATAATTCTGCACAGTTCTTGGGGCTGCAGGGTTGTATTAAAATTTATTTTTTAATACAATAACACATTCGTGTCTGAGATTGTTGCGTCCTGGTTTAAGACACGATGTCTTCAAAGGTGATCTCTCTCTCTCTCTCTCTCTCTCCCTCTCTCCTCCTCTCCCCCCCCCCCCCCTCTCTCTCTACTGCCTTCGAAATTTGCACTGGCCTGCAAACCCAAGACTACTTAATTGTGCTGAGGACAAGTAAGTATCCAGTGATGGGAGTCCTCATTGACTAGTAGCATTTGACAGCTCTAATTCAGAACCATTTCTCAATTCTTCAACTGGAACTGAATAAAACTGATAGAAAATGTAAACAGAGAATTGTCTTTTGTGTTTTCAAGCAGGACTAGCTTCGAACTTTGAATATTTGTGGGGTTTCAAATAAGGCTGTATGTGATTGTATATTTGATAACTAAGCCTACTATGATTGAATGTTCCAGAAAGTTCTTTTTCAGTTTGTTACAAATTGATTAAACCTATGAACAAGCCCATTTCAAGCATCTGTTAGGTTATTAATGACAATCAGGACCAAGTGGAGATGATTTATGTGTTGCCTGACAACGGGTGGCGATTGTGTTAAGCTGGGTGTGTCAGAATGAGACTGAACATTTGATTTAAACACCATTAATGTATATTGATTCTTTTATACTGAATTAGATGTTCAATTATATTTTGTATTGTTTGTTGAAGCACTGTGTTGCAAATGATCACATCATCTTTGCAATCTGACTTATTTTCAATCTTAGGCTTATCAAGTTTGTAGGAAGTAAGTCACACATGGTTTCATGGGACAAACTAAATATCTTTGGGGAGGGAATCAGGGTTTTCATCAGAGGGAAGTAAAAAAGTTCAATATTTCAAAGTGTTTTTGCCCCCAAAGTTTGTTTTTTAAAAACTTTTTTTATATAATTTGCCTCTGAAAATTGTTTTGTCGTAAAATTGAGACGTTTAAATTTCCTCAGCATTAATCAAGCTGACTATTGTTTTAGGAGCAATCTCACAGATTGGTATTCTGTGATTTTCTTTTTTTTGGTATGTAGTATAAATGTTTTAACACTTACACTGCTGAATTAACTTGAAGAGCTTCTTGAAGTGTACATAGATTCAGCATGATTCATGTTACAGTGAATTAATGCATGGATACATTAATTTTAGATATGGACATTTTCTCAATACAAGAGCTTCTCTCACAAAACATTGTACAGTTCAATAAAATATTCTTATTACAAGATAATAACATGTTGAATTTACTCACAATAGGGTTATTCCACTAAAATTTAGGTATATATTTTTATCTTAAGGCAGTGAAATTTGTAAGTAGTCAAAATGACGAGCAAACCCACTGGCCCTGTTGGATCTGAGAGTGTTGAAATAATGAGCCTTGGACACAACTTGAATCAAATTTGCTAGAACTACCAATTTGACTGAGCAGAGCCTATCCTCATGCAAGTGTCAGCCTGTTTTAGATAATTTCAGATAATTAGACAACACTCTTAATAACAAAACAGAAACAATTTGATCAATGTCTTTTTAAAAATTGTTTCTATGACAACTGCCTCTCGTTTCCCAGAATGAGAAGTCCGGATTATGGGATGGCTGGTTCTTCAACTTCGGGGAGGAAGTCCATGCTAAGACGTTCCAGTGCATGTCTGTCCAGGGAATGGCCAGTTTCCTGAAACCCTTTCTGCTCCATAATACCACTGGCATGTAAGTTTGTGAAACGTCCACATTCCCTGGGTTTAGGAATGAATTTAGGCTGTAACATAGCAATTCTCAGGCAACACTGATGAAATATATGTGCAGTAAAGAAAATGAGAATTTTACTGTTTTATGTTGACTAATTAAATGAAGAATTTATGATACCTGATGAGTGAGTGAGTGAGTGAGCTTTTAACAGTGTTCCAGTTATATCACGGCGTGTCAGCTTAATGTGGGAGGAAAGCCCGAAGTGATGCAGGTCTCAGACGTTTACCACTTCGGTGAAACCCACGAGCACGGGTATGGTGCTGACAAACCTAGAAACATAATCGGGGCGAACCGGGATTCAAACCCACAATCATAGGTTTCTAGCGTGCCCAAGGGACGCACAGCGAATCGCGGCACCTTAGACAACTGGGCCACCCGTGCCCCGGTACCTGATGAGTCATATCCTGTATCATTATAAGGTATCCTGAATAGGTTCGGAAGGAAAGAGTGTCTCACTGGTCTAGTGGATAGAGTGTCTCGTAGGAGGGTGGAAGGTTGGTGGTTCGATCCCCGGCCGCATTATACCAAATGCAGGTACTTGTTGTTTCCCTGCCTGGCACTTTGCATTAAGGGGTTAAACTAGGACTGGTCAGCTGCCAGTCAATATATTATGTCTGAGTGGGTATCCATGTTAAACTGTGGCATATCTCAGTGGGCTTGCACTATTAAAACTTATACAAGCAGCCACACACACCATTTCACCTCAGAAAGGAAGACCCGTGAAGATCCAGGGTAGAATAGGTCTTCAGCAACCCATGCTTGCCGTAAAAGGCGACTATGCTTGTCGTAAGAGGCGACTAACGGGATCAGATGGTCAGGCTCGCTGACTTGGTTGATGCATGTCATTGATCCCAATTGCGTGGATCGATGCTCATGATGTCAATCACTGGATTGTCTGGTCCAGACTCAATTATTTACAGACCGCCGTCATATAGCTGAAATATATTGCTGAGTGCGGCGTTAAACAACAAACAAACCAAACCAAACCAAACCAAACCAAACCAAATCAAAAAGGAAAACCGTGATGTATTAATGCTGAGTATTGTTAGATGTTTTGTTGCCTGAAAACCAAGATTTTATTTTCAAGCTTTATCTTAACATTTCCCATGGATGATAGTGAATCATGTGGGATTTGGGGTTAGAATATGTCCCACAGTGGCCTATACTTGCTGGCGATTGAATGGATCAGGTGGTCAGACTCGGTGACTTTGACATTGTAGGATGTTTCTCCTAATAATTATCACTGGTTTGTGTGATCCAGACATGATTATTTAAAGATGATGGACACACAGCTGCCGAGTCAGTGTTTTTCAAATCAAATCTTAAACCCTGAAATGATATGTCTCGGAGTTAAGATTTGAAGATCTCTCCTTTAAAAGGTTGCGTCATGTGAACCCTGACCGACCTTTAACCACCCAGTCTGAATGATGGGTCAGACTGTGGGTCTTGAGCCAGTCAAAGATGAGCTTTCTAAATGATTTGATTTCATTTTGTTACCACCTCTTTTGGAAATTTTGGTTTCAGCAGAAGTAAACTGACAAAGGACAAACATAATTCCTTTGATGGAACTCTGTTTTGTGTTTAGATGCCATGGAGCTTACACACAAAAGATACAGAAATCAGATGTGATGGTTTGAAATTTGAATGTTTCTCTCACTCATACAGAGAATTTAGAAAAAAATCATAAGAACAGGAAGGTGCAGAGGAGACATATATAGATGTACAGAGGAAACATCAACATATTTAATAACTGAGTAAAAATTGCCATAACATTCAAATTTATTGTGTATTCAAATGGTTTCAAATGTTCATGCTCCTTATATATGTGACACTTTTGTTTTATAGGTCGGTCATGATTGATAGGGCGGAGACAGTGATGCATGATCGTTTTGGAGACATCAAGTACTGGACGGTTAGTAGTCTCATAGGAAACATTGGCCAGGAGTCGCTGTTGTCATCTTTCAGTGCCTTATGCCTTGAGGTTACACACAACCAAATGTTTTCCCATAGACTTCTATAGTAACGTTATATTTTTAAAAAAAATAACTAAGCAATCAACAGCTATTACCTGTACGTGTGTGCACATTTTTGCCTTAGAGCAGCAATAAAAAAATAAAAAATGACTAGTTTAGCCAGCTCCTTTTCCGAGTACAGGAAGCTAAACACACCACCCCCAGTTTCGCACCAAATGTCACCTACTTGAAAATAGCTGTGGTCACATTCAGCATAAGTCATCATGTTGAAAAAGACAGTACTAAATATACTGGATGGATGTACATTTGAAAGACATAAAAATCTTACAGAATATCCTCCAATCACAGCCTGCAGATATCTCTCGATCTGCACTGAAGGCTCCCTACGAAAACCGCACTGTCCAAACTGGTTCTGATTTGGTGTAGTAGAACCTTGAGCATTTGCAGGGAATTATTTCAGAGATTTTATGGGTACTTCAATAGGCTTCACCTTTTCACTTTGGAAAACCTTGAACAATCTGCACCAGCCGAGAGTGTGTTGACAAGTGGGATTGGTAGTCACTGGTGAAGATAAGCTTTTGTTTGGTTGTTGGTTTGTTTGTTGTTTAACTCCAGCTATATGATGGCGGTGGTGAGGATAAGCCCTTGACGGACACCAGCGTATCGCATCCAGTGTTTGTCAGCAATGCATGTTCATTATAGGGATCAGGGATGTATCTGGACCTGCCCATATTTGGCCTGAAGTCTATGACAATTTTCAGTAAAAATAACCAAACTGGAATAGAATAGTGCCAAGTTATGTTATTGTAGTTTAAACTAATGTTATTGCTATCGTAGAGGTGACTTGCCTTTCAATGACACCAGGAGCAAAAAACAATGCTTTAATGTTTATTTTTACATTTTTGCATTGAACGAACGATAAAAAATGGATGTCCCAATTTTGAACAAATTCTTTTTCCCCATTTTGTCTGCAAGGGCACTTAGGAGTACTAGATAAGTCCCTAGCTGATGCTCCAAGGATGGATAATAAGCAATAACCGATCAGTTAACTGTACTGGTGAAACGGCCATGTTTGATTGTGGGGTAAAAAAGTTATTAGATATTTGTTTTACAACGTTCAAGCATTCATTTTATGTTAACAAGATTACACATGAAAATTGTTGGGAAAATATACATTTTTATTAATACAGTGGATCAGTGATAAAACCCCAACAATTCTCATAGCTAGTTAAATTAAAACATAATCTTATTTCTGTTGCCATGGCGAACTTCAGGCCAGGAGGAGTATGGTATTTGCGAAACACCTGAAAAAAATTGGGGATGATTTCCGTGGCAAACATCTCGACTCAACAGATGTAGCAGACAAAACTGTGATGAATGAAGACTGGACGAAAAATAAGGTAATATGTCCACTTATACTTAAACATTGAACATATTGTATTTGTCATATGTTCATTAATATTTATTACTACATCATTAACATACTTGCAAGGCTTTGTCACACAATTGTCCAAGGTGCTGCAGGTTTCCGTGGAGAGTTGTGTCCCTTTGTATGTCAGGATCCTGAGATCTTGGGTTCAAATCCGAAATTTGCCCCGATTATTGCCCATGCTTAAAGATTTCAACGTTTGTTTTTGTTTGTTTGTTGTTTAACGCCGCACTCAGCATTATTCCAGCTATATGACAGCAGTCTGTAAATTATTGTGTCTGGACCAGACAATCCAGTGATTGACATCATGAGCATCGATCCACGCAATGGGGATACGATGACATGCTTTTAATCAAGGTGCTCATGTGATTTGATGCAGGGGTAAGACACGTTTTATTACATTATAGATCTTGATTATTGATCAGATCGTCTTCACTGGGCACCACCATTTTGTTTGAAGCAAATGGAAGTGTTTGTTTGTTTGTTGTTTAACGTCACACTCAGCTATATGACGGCGGTCTGTAAATAATCAAGTCTGGACCAGACAATCCAGTGATTGACATCATGAGCATCAATCCACGCAATTGGGATATGATGACATTCCTCAAACAAGTTAGGGATCCCGTTAGTTGCCTCTTACGACAAGCATAGTCGCCTTTCATGGCAAGCATGGGTTGCTGAAGACCTATTCTTGACGGGTCCAAATGCAAGTGATATAAGAGATGGAATCTGATTGGTCAATAGGAGGAAGATAGAAGGGACATAACTCGTAAAAGCCACAGGTGGCGCTATGATCGAAATTCCAACCTAGTTCAGCAAGGGTGGAATCTGGACTTTTATAGTCAGTTAACTCGCTTGCACCGGGAAGATGCTGATACAATGAAGTCGCCTCCTGTAATCTGCATTGGCTGCTGGGGACCTGTTCTCAACCGGGCCCCCACAGGATATAATGAGATCCATGTTGTTAGGGACCAGTCATATATTACAGGGTTGGGTCAGTGGTTACACTAATGTACAGAAAATAATGACCCTCCCCTAATGCTTGTTGCAGTTTGGATGACCCTCCTCCAGGTATATTTCTTTCATGACCCACCCTGAAAAGACAAAAGGCAAAAGCACTTTATGCTTTATTATAAAAAACCCAATTTTGTCATGACCATCCCCGAATGTGTATTCCCTCTCTCCCCTATGATAAATGATTGCTCCCTTATCCCCAAATACTGTTATTTCATCTACCAGATATAGATTTCTTGTCAAATTGGGTCTTCAGTACCTGTGCTTTTCATAACAGATGTTTAAATTAGATATTGGATGGTCACAATGGGTGTTTATTACTTTATTACAGGGAAATGGCCACTCTGGGATATTGGCAGACCTGCCAACTCTACTCCTGTAGTCACTTGGAGTAAGGATCATTATCAGACTAATAATGTTATCTTTTGCAGAAAACAAGGGGAGATGCCAAGGGAGGGCCCTATATTGGGGTACACCTACGTCGAGCAGACTTTGCGATCTCCAGAAAAAAAGACACACCAACCTTTTCAGTTGCTGCCGAGAAAATTATTGAGCTTCTGAAGAAATATGATTTGAAGAAGGTTTTTATTGCCACTGATGCTCGGGAAGAATGGGGTAGGTCATCCTTGGATCCTCTTCTGTTACTCATACAGACCCAGGCCATACGAGACCTTTTTGGGATAACCATTTTTTGCATAAAAATACAATGAAGTTGATATAAGATTCAAATAGAGTACAGTGCATGATCTTTACCACATTGAGTTTTTTTTTTCTGTAATTATCCCCTGCCGCGCGAAAGCGCGAAGCGGGGGATATAGTATTCACGACCGTCCGTACGTCCGTCCGTACGTCCCACCTGTTTGTTGCCGCGATATCTCAAGAACTAAACACTGGATTGTCTTCATATTTGGAACTATGGTGTATATACAGACTCCGCAGACACCAGTCGGTTTTGGTGACCTTGATCCCATTTTCAAGGTCACAGCAGACAAATCTGCTTTTAGAGTTGGAAAACGGTGTTGCCGCGATATCTCAAGAACTAAACACTGGATTGTCTTCATATTTGGAACTATGGTGTATATACAGACTCCGCAGACACCAGTCGGTTTTGGTGACCTTGATCCCATTTTCAAGGTCACAGCAGACAAATCTGCTTTTAGAGTTGGAAAACGGTGTTGCCGCGATATCTCAAGAACTAAACACTGGATTGTCTTCATATTTGGAACTATAGTGTATATACAGACACCGCAGACACCAGTCGGTTTTGGTGACCTTGACCCCATTTTCAAGGTCACAGCAGGCAAATCTGCTTTTAGAGTTAGAAAACGGTGTTGCCGCGATATCTCAAGAACTAAACACTGGATTGTCTTCATATTTGGAACTATAGTGTATATACAGACTCCGCAGACACCAGTCGGTTTTGGTGACCTTGATCCCATTTTCAAGGTCACAGCAGGCAAATCTGCTTTTAGAGTTGGAAAACGGTGTTGCCGCGATATCTCAAGAACTAAACCTCTCGTTTGTCTTCATATTTGGAACTATGGTGTATATACAGACACCGCAGACACCAGTCGGTTTTGGTGACCTTGACCCCATTTTCAAGGTCACAGCAGGCAAATCTGCTTTTAGAGTTAGAAAACGGTGTTGCCGCGATATCTCAAGAACTAATCGCTGGATTGTCTTCATATTTGGAACTATAGTGTATATACAGACACCGCATACACCTGTCAGATTTGGTGACCTTGACCCCATTTTCAAGGTCACAGCAGGCAAATCTGTTTTTGGAGTTGGAAAACGGTGTTGCCACAATATCTCAAGAACTAATCGCTGGATTGTCTTCATATTTGGTACTATGGTGTATATGGCGGGGGATATTTCGTCACTCCGTGACAAATACTTGTTCTTGGTACATATTGATATAGCTTTTACCATATTAGCCCACGGATAAAGTTTGTCCAGAGTGAAAATAATTGAAATGGTAGGAGTTACCTCCCCTAGGAGGGGATTGTCCGTTTTTGTAGTTTAGCATACGGTACTTCCATATCCGGTGGCTAGCAAAGCATACAGTGGCGGCAGTTTTTAATCATGGGTTAAGAGTTTCTGCTGGCTGTTTCCCTTTTGCTGAATGTAAATTTTTCCCATGTCATTAAACGAGACCCTCACTTTCACCCAACACATGTTTTTTCTCTCATTCATTTATGTTCTGCATTTGCTTTTCCGGTATGTTTGCGTTGTACCTACTCCGTAAGAAATCTAAAGGAATAGTGATGAGCCATGATCTATATGGATATAACAAAACAAATCTCAACAGTGTCTAATAATCCAGTATTAATTTAACTAGCAGAAATCATATGCAAACAAGTTGTATTCATGTAAGCAGTTTTCACCTTTTAACAGTGTTATGACCATCAGATATGGGATGCAATGGGTCATGAAAAATGAAGGAAATGGACTCTTAAGAAAAGTATGAATGTAAATATTTTGATGGAAACTTTTTGTTTTACTTCTTCCAGAGTTTGATGAGGTGAAGAATCTTTTGTCTGGATATGAAGTCTATCGGTTCAGACCAACGAAGGAGATTCTGGAGAAGTACATGGATGGTGGTGTGGCCATCATTGACCAGTGGATCTGTGCACATGCAAGGTGAGAAGATGAAGCATAGTTGTCTGTAATGGTCTGTATCCTTGAAGTAGTGGTCTGTATCCTTGAAGTAGTGGTCTGTATCCTTGAAGTAGTGGTCTGTATCGTTGCTGTAGTTGCCTGTATCCTTGAAGTAGTGGTCTGTATCTTTGAAGTAGTGGTCTGTATCCTTGAAGTAGTGGTCTGTATCCTTGAAGTAGTGGTCTGTATCCTTAAAGTAGTGGTCTGTATCCTTGAAGTAGTGGTCTGTATCCTTGAAGTAGTGGCCTGTATCCTTGAAGTAGTGGTCTGTATCCTTGAAGTAGTGGTCTGTATCCTTGAAGTAGTGGTCTGTATCCTTAAAGTAGTGGTCTGTATCCTTGAAGTAGTGGTCTGTATCCTTGAAGTAGTGGTCTGTATCCTTCAAGTAGTGGTCTGTATCCTTGAAGTAGTGGTCTGTATCCTTGAAGTAGATTAGTCTATATCCTTGAAGTAGTGGTCTGTATCCTTGAAGTAGTGGTCTGTATCGTTGCTGTAGTTGCCTGTATCCTTGAAGTAGTGGTCTGTATCTTTGAAGTAGTGGTCTGTATCCTTGAAGTAGTGGTCTGTATCCTTGAAGTAGTGGTCTGTATCCTTAAAGTAGTGGTCTGTATCCTTGAAGTAGTGGTCTGTATCCTTGAAGTAGTGGCCTGTATCCTTGAAGTAGTGGTCTGTATCCTTGAAGTAGTGGTCTGTATCCTTGAAGTAGTGGTCTGTATCCTTAAAGTAGTGGTCTGTATCCTTGAAGTAGTGGTCTGTATCCTTGAAGTAGTGGTCTGTATCCTTCAAGTAGTGGTCTGTATCCTTGAAGTAGTGGTCTGTATCCTTGAAGTAGATTAGTCTATATCCTTGAAGTAGTGGTCTGTATCCTTGAAGTAGTGGTCTGCACCTTGAAGTAGTTGTCTGTATCCTTGAAGAAGTGGTCTGCACCTTGAAGTAGTGGTCTGTATCCTTGAAGTAGTGGTCTGCACCTTGAAGTAGTTGTCTGTATCCTTGAAGTAGTGGTCTGTATCCTTGAAGAAGTGGTCTGTATCCTTAAAGTAGTGGTCTGTATCCTTGAAGTAGTGGTCTGTATCCTTGAAGTAGTGGTCTGTTTCCTTCAAGTAGTGGTCTGTATCCTTGAAGTAGTGGTCTGTATCCTTGAAGTAGATGAGTCTATATCCTTGAAGTAGAGGTCTGTATCCTTGAAGTAGTGGTCTGTTTCCTTATAGTAGTGGTCTGTATCCTTGAAGTAGTGGTCTGTATCCTTGAAGTAGTGGTCTGTGTCCTTGAAGTAGATGAGTCTATATCCTTGAAGTAGATGAGTCTATATCCTTGAAGTAGTGGTCTGTATCCTTGAAACACTTGTGTCTATATCCTTGGAACACTTGTGGCTATATCCTTGGAACACTTGTGGCTAAATCCTTGAAATAGTTGTGTCTGCTTTCTTGAAATAGTTGTGTCTGTATCCTTGAAATAGTTGAGTCTATATCTTTGAATTAGTTGTATCTATATCCTTGATATAGTTGTGTCTATATCCTTGATATAGTTGTCTATATCCTTGATAAAGATGTCTATATCCTTGAAATAGTTGTGTCTATATCCTTGATATAGTTGTCTATATCCTTGATAGAGCAGGTGCAGCATTGTGGTTGAAGTAACTCCAGGGCCCTGCTGGGTATGTGGGTACAATGTGTGAAGCCATCTGTGGTGCCCTCCACTGTGACGTTGCTGGAATATTGCCGAAAGTGGCATGAAACCCAGCTCACTCATTGGTTCACTGGTTTCAGTTTGTATGCTAACTACATTTGTCCCTGAATAATCCTCAGTTTGATGAGGTGTGGTTGTGTCTCCAGGTACTTCATCGGCACCAGGGAGTCGACGTTCTCCTTCCGTATCCAGGATGAGCGGGAAATCATGGGATTTGACGCGGACATGACCTTCAACAGCTTCTGTGGGCAAGGTCGCGACAAAGGAGAGGAGAAACCGAATCAGCCTGATGACTACGAGGAAGATTTCTGTCGCCAGCCGTCACGATGGGAGATAGTATACTGATCAGAGGCTCAAACAAACTTTGTCAAATCACATAAATATACATGAACCATGAAAAAATGTTTTATATGATGGGGCAGCAAAATATGATACAGGCCTTAGACCAATTCCTCCCCCCACTTTTCGAATGACCAGCCCCTAATGGCTATCAATATTGTATCATATACCATAGATCTGAAATTAAGATGGTTACAAAAATGGTCAGTATGTACAACCGTTCTGATTAAACAAGATTAATTAATTAGATAATGAATCAGGGAATCTCCAGTATTAGGTATGAATAGTTTGTATTCCAAACTCTCTTTGATGTGGATTTTTTAGATAGAATTTAGTTGCTAACACTGAAGGATTAAGTTGCTGTGGTATTATTTGTTATATCTGGCTGTGTGGTTGAAACTGTCCCTTGTGGTGTGAGACAGTTGTTTTCAGTCATGACTTTTACTTCATTTATCATCTAAATATGATGCTGGTCAGTCCAAAAATGTTGAACGTGACATATTCAATTGATGTTTAATTCCTGAAGACAGTTTTTCATCATCCTGAGGCAAGGGAGTTAAGTGTCTGTAAAAGTCCAGTTTCCAACCTCGCTGAAGTAGGTTGGTATTTCTCGGCTCAATCCTAGTGCCACCTGTGGTAATTACAAGTCCCTTCTATGTCCCTCCAGATTGTCCAATCAGATTAAACCTCTCATATCCCTTTCATTTACTTAAAGTAAAATGGCATCTCCCAGTGAAGACGATCTGATCGATAATCAAGATCTGTTGTAATAAAACAGGTCTTACTTTGCGAAGTGCATCAAACCACATGAGCACCTTGATTAAAAACATGAAACATTAGGAAAATATCAGTTGTCGCCAAGTTAGCAGTACATACTTTGCAAATCCTTCAATCGACCGAAATCTGTATTACGATCCGGATGTCAAATCCTTACACGGTTTCAATTGGACTATGCATAGACTTGTTAGTCCAGTCAAAATATAACTCCATAATTCCAGTCTAGTTCGGCAAGGGTGGAAACTTGAATTTATGGTCAGCCAACTTCCTTGCCTCGGGAAGATGATATATAGCAGGTATTGGTAAACATTATCCCAAATTTGACCAGTGTTATGCTGACAGTTTAGCATGTCTGCCTCATGGTGTTACCATGGTTATGTAATGTTGTACATGTATAGTCTATCAGGGAATATTGTGGAAGTATTGATGTTTGCGAAGAATTGAGAATGTGGAAATAACCAGTGTTCGAAATACCTGCCTGCCCGACCGTCCGAGACGGGTTGATTTCAACTCGGGCTGCCAGATTTTCAAATCCCCCTGCCCGACGGTCGGGTTATATTTCATATGTGAAAATATTCAAAATATTTCCCGATGATAAGCATTAATTCACATGTAAAGATGAATGATAAAATGTAACCAAAAAGAAACCCCGTTAGCTTATCCTGAGAAACATATGATTATAGTGGGCAGGCAGGTTTTGGTCAGGGCTGGCAAGTATTTCAGCTAGCCAGTCCTGTGGTCTGGCTGAAATTTTTGGGAGTTTCATACCCTGAAATAAGAAGAGTTGATTTGAAAAATGACAAATAGTGGAACTACAAAACTTGCAAATGTGCTTTACACCTTAGTTACAGGGTAAAAGTATGTACAGTACTTGTCCTTGTTTTGTGAATTTGCATAAATAATTGTTATTGATGGAATAATAGAACTATAACAAAAGTGAAATCCACCTTAGTGTTTGTCCATTCCAAGTGTTGCCTAATCCCCAAACGAGGACAATATGATCATGCTGTGTTAGCATCACAGGGTTTATTCCTGTTAGACCTTGTTTTGCGAGATACGTTCAATCAAGATGTTGTAGTCTGCAAACATGGATCTCAAATTGTGACATACCGTATTCGACGTAATAAGCACCCAGGGCGCTCTCAAAATTAGAAATAGGGGGCTCTTATTAGAATATTATTTTGGTGAAAAAGACAGAGTTGAAAGATAAATTTCGTGGTTTATGCTGCCAGCCTGAAATGTTTATATACGAGAGATACCTTTTTCCAGAATTTAAATGCCCATAATTAAGGGTGCATATAACATACTAGTACGTATTATATGCGAATAAATAAGTGTTGTGTACATTGATCAATCGGAAGGGGTGTTAATTGGTATTGTTCACTAGCCAATATATTAGCAAATATCGCCGTGGGCGCTTATTAGAGCAGGGCGCTTATTACGTCGAATACGGTATTTGTTATTTAGGTCTACCAGCCTTTTCATATCACTCAGTGGTTTCCTCGGCAATGTGGAACCTGTGTCAAAAGCGTCAATGTGCTTCATCAATCTGGGCTTCTTACCATTAAGCTCACATGGCGTCATGTGACTAATACTGTGAAGCATCTTAAAACCGACTCCTTCCTTTAATTGTGCCACACTAACCCTTAGACCCTTAGTTGGAAGAGTGTCATGAAGTGAAGGACAACAGTTCATTAAAATAGTTCTATTGAAGTTTTATTGAATGTTTTGTAAATTCCAAAGTTGTGATATGCTTCTGTAGAAATCTATATAATTATATTTTTTCTGAAACCTATTTGAATATTAAATTTGAATTAAACCTACAAATATTGACCTATTTTTAAAGTTTTGTGACGTTGTTGCTTTTGCAATGATCGCTAAAACTCATTATGTCTTAAGAAATATCAGTCCTTGATCTTAAACTTTTAAAATTGGGTACAGAATGTAGTCAAAGTGTTTGCTTTGAAATTTCACTATTTCTGTCTAAGCCAATGTATCAAATGTGTATGTTATCCACCACTGTGTAGTACTGACATTTGGTGAAGTTTGTACATATTCAAATGTTTATCACAGATGCATGTACAAATTGGTACAAGGTATCAAGGTTGTTTTAAAGAAATCCTACATACTACTTTTATGAATGCATTTGAATTGATACAATTGTGATGCTAATGGTATTGATTAATCTTTTTGTTTGTTAGGTAGACTGGAGGGGCGGGTTGGTCAGTATAGGGTGTGAGTACTGACAAATATCAGGGGAAAGTCTGAAAACAGATCTTAGCTGTTTCAGGAGAAGATTGTGAAAAATGTTAAGAAATGTGTACAGTTTGATGAGGATCATGAAACACTGATAGTCATTTTCAGGATTTTTTTAAATTCCAACCAACCAATTTGGTATCACAGGAAAGATGCCCTTGGGACAAACCTTTTGGGAGGGGCACTGAAAAAGAGTAATATTTCTAACTATGTAACGAAACCTTCCTCCTTCCCTTTTAACATTAATCAAGGGTGCAGGTGGCCCTGTTGTCTAAGGCACTGTAATTCAATGTGCAGAGTTGCCTATACGTGACAGAAACCTATGATCATGGGTTCAAATCCCAGATTCGCCCTGATTCTGTTTCTAGGTTGGCAGCACCAGACCCGTGCTCACAGGTTTCATTAAAAGGGTATGTGTCTGAGACCTGCTTCACTTCGGACTCACCTCCCACATCAAGTGGACATGGGATATAATTAGATACGGTTTAAAACAGCATTAAACCCAGTTCACTCACTGACTCAACATTAATGAGTGCCCAGTCCCCCACATACTGACAGAAACAGGCATCTAAGTATATAATGACATCTTGTTTGCTATATTTTATAGAATGGTTTTTAGGTGATAAGTGCTGTACAGTGATTTTACAAGAGACAAATGCCCATGGGACATGATTTCATCTGCTTCTGATGGACATTCGAGATCATTACCAACTAGGGAAGATTCTTTTCAGACATTTTGGATGACATTCAGTCAATGTTCTAGAAAATGAACCGATCTGAACCCAGCTTGAATACGAGGTAGTTGATGCAGGTGCCTTCACATGGAGGAACTGAGAATGTCATTCATATTGTGTATGGGGTAATTCAATGCTGGAATGGCCTCAGGATACCTTTCGACGTGTCTTGAAGGACATTTGTATTTCCCTGTGAGGATCTGGAGACCTTGTGATGAGACATACACATGAAACCGCATTATCAGTGGTTCATATTGGGAAAGGGAGGTCACTCTAATTTCAAACGGGAGCTATCGTATTTGCGAGAAATGGCGTCACCCACGCTGTAACGTTGTTGGTCCAGCTATTAAATGCCCAGCTTATCCCTAAGGTAAAACGTATTCTTAATTAAATGTTGAAATGCATTATATATTTATGTTTCCATCCGTACATCTTCTAAGATTGGTTTAGTGCTAATAACCATTTTCTAAAATGTGGGCCCACATTTTCCCCATCATCTATGGTGATCGAAACAAGTGGGCCCACATTTGTATTTCATCATATACCTTCAGGTGAATAAGCAGGTCGATCTATAACAAACTTGGTCAATTAAAGTATGAAATTTGATATAAAACTTCACTAGACATGATGATTTACCATTTAAAATGTATTTTCCTATGTAATATAGAAAGGAAAAGTGCAGAGCCGCCACACACATGGCTGTGTTGACATTTATTAACCTTGTTGACTTAGGAAGACACAGCATACATATGAGACACATCCTTTGTTGGCTTCTGTGTTTTGTTCAGATGTACATTTGATATGTTAACTTATAAACATGGCTGATATTTACAGTAGTTAGGAGGATCATTAATCTCGGTTATTAACCATCTGTTGTGACAATATATCTATCACATTTCTGCAGCATTTGAAAAACATCAATCTGAGCCCATCACTCTCTCATAAGTTAAAAACATATTGTGAATGTACCATTTTTTATGTTTATGTCCCAAAACTTCCGGGTAACCTTTTTTGTGGAAGAGTTGCGTGTTACAACACCTACCTACAGTTCTGTAACACTGGGTACACATCCGTATGCTAACATAGAGATGTTTAATGGTTCAGATGGTCAGACTCTTTGACCTGGTAGATTGTGTGTCATCGTACCCGAGAGCCTGGGTTGTTGCTCACAATATCAATCACTAGTTTGTCTGGGCCACACTTGATTATCTACAGGCAGTTGTCATATTGCTGTAATACTGCTGTGAGTAGCTAAGCAACCAACACACACTTATTGGGGATAAGATTGGCTTCCTTTTCAGTGGAATATTTCGTGTTACATAGATGTTACCCTGATTACCTGTCTTTGCATAATCCAGACATTTTATTGTTTTAGTTTTATGTTTTATCCTATGATTAGCCAAAGCTAGTGTTTGTGTTTTGTTTGGATGTTAACAGCTTTGTAAGAAGTGTAACTGCTACTAGATCCACTGCCATTATGATAGATTTTGTTGACATTTTATTGTTAGTGTCTTACATGTCTACTACATGTTTGTCAAGTATTAGTCAGCTGATGAAGTCATATTAACAATGCTACTCAAAAGAAGTTAAAGCGCTCTCATTAAAATCAGACCTCAGTTCTCGTTCTCTCAAAGATCTGAGGACATCCCATTGGGGTCGCGTCAGAACGACCTTTCATCTGACCAATCAGAGCATCGCTTACCAGATTGTGAAAGTGACAGTCGGAATGTGATGTCTAATCATGCAGCCTCGAAAACTTTAACTCCGAACGATAGTTACGGGTTTAACGACTGAATCCATACAATCTAGACCATCTATTAGCCATCCCAGAATATTCTTTTGTTCAGGTTTCAAATTTGTAATCAAGAATTTGTCAAAATATGTTTCGAAGCGTAGTCGCCAATTTGAAATAAGTGCCGTAAAACACGAGAAAGCTGCCTTCTGATTGGTCATTCCATTGGTCGGTCAAAGTTCGCGCAATGTCGGTCTGACGTGACCCGTAATGGGATGTCCTCAGATCTTTGTTTAGCGATAGCATATTACAACTATGTGGTATGACAAATTAAATATCGTAATATGAACGAACCGGGTGGTCATTAACTTCTTTTGAGCGGTATATATTTCACATTTCTTACATAGACTTTTTATAGTTCTCTTTCCTTCTGCTCGTGGGATGTTGATAATTTATAATTGCTCAAAACATTAAAATGCAACCTGTAGTACATGTTTTTCTAAAAATGAGGTTTAGCTGACTCAATAGATTGTATGGGTTAAGTTATATTTTTGTTTGATGAAGTATTTTTATAGCCTTCTTCCATAAATATTGTAAGATTGTGGTAAACTACTGTATATATTTCATTATAAACTTTGTGGAATAAGAAATACATGTGTGTTGACATGTTAAAGATTGCTGTAGAATCAAAACACATGATCATGTGTTAGTGTACACAATTGTAATCCATATTATCA